CAGAGTGGGAAAACGCAGGTTTTATTCCAGGCAAACCCTCCCTCCCAACCACCAAGTTCCTTCCTCTTTGCTCTGGAGTAAACTGCACCGGCTTTACATCGAGTTTGAAAGCGTCTAAGTAAAGGCCTGACAGGCAGCCCCCCTCGCGAACATGGTGTGCAATTCCGTTCCAATGTCTCATTCCCCTTTTATTATTATTTTATCATCATCATCATCCAATTTATCCGCCTCCCCTTCTCACAGTCTCTCAAAATTTCCATTGCTAAGTGAGGCGGTTCAGCGAATTTCGCCTCATGTTTATGACCTGACGAGAAGGGGGACCGCGTCACAATTGGGGGCACAGCCACTGTCGTAACTATGAGTCCGTTGGCGACCAGGGTCTGAATTTCAACCGCGTGACGCCCGGGGAATGCGGCGACGGGGAAACCAGTTATAAATCGCTTCCTTTTTAAGTGCTGTTGTCATTTGGTCGCTAAGCGAACGGTTGTAAGTCAAGGACTACCTGTATGGCTCTCCGTGCTTATTTAACATCCCGCCTCTTCCCTCCCCCCCCACCATAAGCAACACCGTTTTATTAAAAAAAGGCTAAAATCCCCTAAAAGTGCAGTCCTCAAATGGTAGCGGAATTAGCGGCCGGCATTTTCTCTCTCTCCCGTCATTTCTGTCCGCCAGTGGCTTTTGGTAAAGGATTCGAATCCAGGTCTCCGTCGGCTGGTCCAGCTGCAGCTGACGGAAGGTGGAGGGGGGGGGTGTCGCCAGGGGCTCTCAGAGGGACTCGTATCCTGTCCGGGCACGGCAACGTCCCACCACGAATGCCACCAGGACGATGACGACGAGGAGACCGAGAACCACGCCCAGCACGATGGGCAGGACGACGGAGCGTTTCTGCTCGGGACACACCTCGGCTGGAAGGGCAGAAGGAGAAACTGAGGCCGAGGGAGAAAGAAGGGTCCTTTGCCCCAACCCCCTTGGGATTTCGGGTAAGGGGGAGAAAGGGGGAGGGGGCTGGATGGTCCCCCAGTTGAGGAAGCCTCAGGTGACACAGAGGAAAAAGTGGAAGGGGGTAAGAATGGGTGGGGGGTTTCTTGAGTCTTCAGACAGCCCCGAAAATCGGGGAAAGGACGGGGGGGGGAGAAGGCCCGAATCTGTTAGCCGAGAGCAGGGGGTTGGACTAGAAGACCTCCAAGGTCCCCTTCCCATCCTATGATGCTACGTTCTACGTCGGGGGTCTCCACACTCCCAGAATTCCCCCGTTTCCCACGCTTGTTTCTCCACTTTGCTGAATTGAAGGTATATTACATCGAACGGCCTTCCCTCCGTCTACTAAGAAGGTCCCGAAAAATAATAATGGATAGTTATTCTTGTGTCCTCCGTGCTGAATTCTGATCCATCTCTGCCGGCTGGGGAATTCTGGGAGTTGAAGTCCACCTGTCTTCAAAGTGGCAAAGTGTGGAGACCCCCCCCCCGCCCCCCAATTTTATGAGCTGGGAGGATCCTTGTCCGCCCGACAGAGAGACGAGCGCTTACCTTCCCCGAACTTCCCGTCTCGCAGCTGAAAGGCCTGGATGCGCTCGCTCAGGGCCGTCAGGTGGAAGTTCTCACTCAGGGCCAGGCTGCGGTTGCGGCACTGGTAGGATTTGCCCAAGGGGGCCGCGAACTCCCGGAGGGAGGCGTTGTTGGCGCTGAAGGTCCTCTCTGCGGAGACAAAGCCATGGAGAAGGGGGCCCACGTTGGACACCTGGCCGGTGGGCACGCTAAACATCCCCCTTAGATCCCACCCCAAGGGTCAGGGGGCTGGACAAAAGTAAAGAAATCCGGCTCTTCCCTGCCCCTCTAGAAGCTGACCCAGGCAGTCCTCGACTTACGACCACCACGGGAGCCCAAAAGACAGCGGGGAACTGAGTTTTGCCCCATTTTTGCAGGTCACGGTTCTTAAGTGAAGCTGTTAAGCGAGCCACACGGTTTTTAAGCGAACTTCGTGTCCCCCGTTGAACCGTGCTGGTCCGAAGGTCGCAAAAGGGGGACCACGTCACACACACACACACACACACACACCAGGGGACGCCGCAACCGTCATAAACACGATTCGGTTGCCGA